CTGTCACAAGTAACAACACTACCACAAGCAACAAAAAACACTGCCACAAGCAACAACAACACTGCCACAAGCAACAACAACACTACCACAAGCAACAACACTACCCCAAGCAACAGCAACACTGCCACAAGCAACAACCCAACCCCTGCCACAAGCCCAAAAACAAAAACTACAACAAAACAAAAAACACTACCACAAGCAACAGCAACACTGCCCCAAGCAACAACAACACTGCCACAAGCAACAACAACCCCTACCACAAGCAACAACACTACCACAAGCAACAGCAACACTGCCACAAGCAACAACAAAAACTGCCACAAGCAACAAACAACACTACCACAAACAACAACACTACCACAAGCAACAAAACTACCACAAGCAACAGCAACACTGCCACAAACAACAACAACACTGCCACAAACAACAACAACACTGCCACAAGCAACAACAACCTACCACAAGCAACAACACTACCACAAGCAACAGCAACACTGCCACAAGCAACAAAAAACACTGCCACAAGCAGCAACACTACCACAAACAACAACAACACCTGCCACAAGCAACAACACTACCCCCAAGCCAGCAACACTTTCCACAAGCAACAGCAACACTGTCACAAGCAACAACACTACCACAAGCAACAGCAACACTGCCACAAGCAACAACAACACTGCCAACAAGAAAAAAACACTACCACAAACAACAACCCCTACCACAAGCAAAACAAACATGCCACAAGCAACAAACACTACCACAAGCAACAGGAAAACTGCCACAAGCAACAACAACACTGTCACAAGTAACAACACTACCACAAGCAACAACAACACTGCCACAAGCAACAACAACACTGCCACAAGCAACAACAACACTACCACAAGCAACAACACTACCACAAGCAACAACAACACTGCCACAAGCAACAACAACACTGCCACAAGCAACAACAACACTACAACAAGCAACAACACCACAAGCAACAGCAACACTGCCACAAGCAAAAACAAAAACTGCCACAAGCAACAACAACACTACCACAAGCAACAACACTACCACAAGCAACAGCAACACTGCCACAAGCAACAACAACACTGCCACAAGCAATCAACACTACCACAAGCAACAACACTACCACAAGCAACAACACTACCACAAGCAACAACAACACTGCCACAAGCAACAACAACACTGCCACAAGCAACAACAACACTGCCACAAGCAACAACAACACTACCACAAGCAACAACACTACCACAAGCAACAGCAACACTGCCACAAGCAACAACAACACTGCCACAAGCAGCAACACTACCACAAACAACAACAACACTGCCACAAGCAACAACACTACCACAAGCAACAGCAACACTGCCACAAGCAACGCAACACTGTCACCCAAGCACAAACATACCACAAGCCAACAGCAACACTGCCACAAGCAACAACAACACTGCACAAGCAACACAACATACCACAAGCAACAACATAAACCCCAAAACAACAACAACACTGCCACAAGCAACAAAAAACACTGCCACAAGCAACAACAACACTACCACAAGCAACAACAACACTGCCACAAGCAACAACAACACTACCACAAGCAACAACAACACTACCACAAGCAACAAACACTACCACAAGCAAAAACAACACTGCCACAAGCAACAACAACACTGTCCCCAAAACAACACAACCACAACAAACAACACTACCACAAGCAACAACAACACTGCCACAAGAAACAACACTACCACAAACAACAGCAAAAACTGCCACAAGCAACAACAACACTGCCACAAGAAACAACAACATACCACAAGCAACAGCAACACTACCACAAGCAAACAACAACACTGCCACAAGCAACAAAACACTACCCCAAAGCAACAGCAACACTGCCACAAAGCAACAACAACACTGCCACAAACAACACTACCACAAGCAACAACAACACTACCACAAGCAACAACAACACTGCCACAAGCAACAACAACACTACCACAAGCAACAACAACACTGCCACAAGCAACAACAACACTGTCACAAGCAACAACACTACCACAAGCAACAGCAAACTGCCCCAGCAACAACAACACTTTCCACAAGAACAACAACACTGCCACAAACAACAACACTGTCAAAGCAACAACAACACTACCACAAGCAACAACACTACCACAAGCAACAGCAACACTGCCACAAGCAACAACAACACTACCACAAGCAACAGCAACACTGCCACAAGCAACAACAACACTACCACAAGCAACAACAACACTACCACAAGCAAAAAACAACACTACCAAAAAGCAACAGAACACTACCACAAGCAATAACAACACTACCACAAGCAACAGCAAAAACTACCACAAGCAACAGCAACACTACCACAAGCAACAACACTACCACAAGCAACAACAACACTACCACAAGCAACAACAACACTACCACAAGCAAAAAACAAAACTGCCCCAAGCAACAGCAACACTCCACAAGCAACAACAACACTACCACAAGCAACAAAAAACACTGCCACAAGCAACAACAACACTACCAAAAGCAACAACAACACTACCCCAAGCAAGCAACACTGCCAAAGCAACAACAACCTACCACAAGCAACAAAACACTGCCACAAGCAACAACAACACGCCACAAGCAACAACAACACTGCCACAAGGAACAACACTACCACAAGCAACAGCAACACTGCCACAAGCAAAACAACACTGCCCAAAAGGGAAAAACACTACCACAAGCAACAACCCAAAACTGCCACAAGCAACAACAACACTACCACAAGCAACAACAACACTACCACAAGCAACAACAAACACTACCACAAGCAACAACAACACTACCACAAGCAACCAAAAAACACTGCCACAAGCAACAACAACACTGCCACAAGCAACAACAACACTACACAAGCCAACAACAACACCCTTTCCCCAAGCAACAACAACACTACCACAAGCAACAACAACACTACCACAAGCAACAACAACACTACCACAAGCAACAACACTGCCACAAGGCAACAACAACACTACCACAAGCAAAACAACCCCACCACAAGCAACAACAACACTACCACAAGCAACAACAAACGCCACAAGCCACAACAACACTGCCACAAGCAACAACAACACTGCCCACAAGCAACAACAACACTGCCACAAGCAACAACACTACCACAAGCAACAACAACACTGCCACAAGCAACAACAACACTACCACAAGCAACAACAACACTACCACAAGCAACAACAACACTACCACAAGCAACAACAACACTGCCACAAGCAACAAAAAACACTACCCCAAGCAACAACAACACTGCCACCCAAACAACAACAACACTACCACAAGCAACAACAACACTGCCACAAGCAACAACAACACTACCACAAGCAACCCAAAAACACTACCACAAGCAACAACAACACTGCCACAAGCAACAAAAAACACTACCACAAGCAAAAAACAAACTACCACAAGCAACAACACTACCACAAGCAACAACAACACTGCCACAAGCAACAACAACACTACCACAAGCAAACAACAACACTACCACAAAACCCAAAAACAACACTGCCACAAGCAACAACAACACTACCACAAGCAACAACAACACCCGCCACAAGGGAAAAAAAACTACCACAAGCAACAACAACACTGCCACACGCAACAACAACACTACCACAAGCAACAACAACACTACCACAAGCAACAACAACCCCTGCCACAAGCAACAACAACACTGCCACAAGCAACAACAACACTGCCAAAGCAACAACAACACTGCCACAAGCAAACAACACTACCACAGCAACAACAACACTACCACAAGCAACAACAACACTGCCACAAGCCCAACAACAACACTGCCACAAGCAAACAACAACACTGCCACAAACAACAAAAACTACCACAAGCAACAACAACACTACCACAAGCAACAAAAACTACCAGAAGCAACAACAACACTACCACAAGCAACAACACTACCACAAGCAACAACAACACTACCACAAGCAACAACAATACCACAACTATCATCCCCTCCCTTACACCACCACCACTACCATCAACCCCTCCCCTACACCACCACTACTACCATCAACCCCTCCCCTACACCACCACTACTGGAGGTTACCTGGAGAGAGTTCCGGGGGTCAACGCCCCCGCGGCCCGGTCTGTGACCAGGCCTCCTGGTGGATCAGAGCCTGATCAACCAGGCTGTTACTGCTGGCTGCACGCAAACCAACGTACGAGCCACAGCCCGGCTGGTCAGGTACTGACTTTAGGTGCTTGTCCAGTGCCAGCTTGAAGACAGCCAGGGGTCTATTGGAAATCCCCCTTATGTATGCTGGGAGGCAGTTGAACAGTCTCGGGCCCCTGACACTTATTGTATGGCCTCTTAACGTGCTAGTGACACCCCTGCTTTTCATTGGGGGGATGGTGCATCGTCTGCCAAGTCTTTTGCTTTCGTAGTGAGTGATTTTCGTGTGCAAGTTCGGTACTAGTCCCCCTAGGATTTTCCAGGTGTATATAATCATGTATCTCTCCCGCCTGCGTTCCAGGGAATACAGGTTCATAGGGATATTTAAGGAAGGAGGCCGCCGAGTCTGAGCCTAGATACACCAAAAAATCGAAAATATATGAAAAATGAGTTAATCTTACCGAAAAATAGAGCAAAGATCTGGCAACATTTTGGTGTGCGTCTCGTCTCTGTACGATAATTACATAAAAAGCTATCGTAATTATAACAATGGCAACTACGTCATCAGCGCGGCCCAGCTCACGTCATAACAATACCACGTGCTCCAGCGCGACTCGCTTCATAAAACAGTATCACAGGTATTTTTTTCCTTTTTTTGTGTGTGTATTTTTGAGCTAGATCTTCTAAATAGTAACTTGCAACATCAGGTTAGCTGTGAGAAGGAGCTGCTCACACCATCTCAAGTCAAAGCCGAGTGGAAGGCAGAAGAGAGAGGTGTGTTACTTTGTCTGACAGCTGACTACCCTTGGGACGTTACTTTTTGCCTTTCATTGTATACATTTTTGGTACACAATGCCTGTTAAGAAGAAACAGTTTGCCCATAACATTAGCAGGAAGAGGAGCAGGAACTTAGAAGCAATGCCAAGGGCTAGACAAGCAAAGAGAGCAGCGGCAGCAGCTGCTGTGGGTGGTGACGCCGCCACCATGCTAGTACCACCACGTGGTGACGCCGCCACCATGCTAGTACCACCACGTGGTGACGCCGCCACCATGCTAGTACCACCACGTGGTGACGCCGCCACCATGCTAGTACCACCACGTGGTGACGCCGCCACCATGCTAGTACCACCACGTGGTGACGCCGCCACCATGCTAGTACCACCACCCTCCTCTCAAGACCTATCCTTGTTCACTGCTACTCAACTATTGGATATTTCATGTTCAGAAACAAGCAAGACAAAATATAGGAGCCCCGCAAAGATGCCCACCTCCACCACGGCTGCTACTACCACAACTACCTCCACTGCTGCTACTACCACAACTACTACCTCCACTGCTGCTACTACCACAACTACTACCTCCACTGCTACTACTACCACAACTACTACCTCCATGGCCCCCTCTACGGCCACTGTCACGACTACTACCTCCACGGCCATTCCATATGTGGCCACCAAACGTTCACGTGGTCGACCCAGAAAAGACGTACCTGTGGCCACACGACGTAACTGTGGCCGACCAAAAGGATCTAAGAGCAAAAGACGTCCCAATTACTTTGTATTGAGCCCATATGAGGCCAGCACCTCCACCACCACCCAAGATGCGGCCACCAGCACCACCACCACTCAAGATGTGGCCACCAGCACCTCCATGGCCACTTCATCTCGTATGACCACATCTGTGGCCAGCACCTTCACTGCCACCCCAGACGTGGCCAACATCTCTGATATTAATACTAATGTTGCGAGTGATATTCCAGTGTCAACACCTGCATCTGCTGAGGTGTCAAGTGCCACACAGACAGTGCCATTATTTAGTAATGTAAAGATGGTGAATTGTAATACATTATATAATACTGTCTTATCGAAAGTGTTTTGCTCGGAGTGTTGTGTTAAAAAAATGGAAACTAAATATTATGAACACCATCTAGAGACAGTTATTGTTCTAGAGTGTCCTGGTTGTGGACATCAGTTGGGGGAGAAACCTAGTTCTTATAAAGTATCGAATGAGGTAACTGGTAGGATGGTGTATGGGGAGATGGTAGCAGGTGAAGGATACACTGCACTTGCTCGTAGAAATGCATTGTGCACTCTTCCATGTATCACTCTAGATACATACAATAAATATGCGTCTATGATAACAGAAAAATGTATCGAGTCATGCCAGAAAATACTTGCTGAATCTAGGGACATTATTGTTGAGGAATATGCCAAATTAAACATTGTACCAGATGTCAATGGAATTCTTGACATTGATGTAACATATAACTGTACATGGCACACAAAGAGACATCACTCAAATATAGGCGTTGGTATCGCTCTCGATGCCGTGACGAAATTAGTGGTTGATTATGAAGTTTTGTGCAAGTACTGTCAAATGTGTGCCTATATGGAAAGTTCTTACAGCAAACAGACAACATCACTTGAAAAATATGAACAATATGAAAATGAACACGAACATAATTGTTGCATAAACTATTCAGGAACATCTGCAAAGATGGAAAGTGAAGCAGCAGCAAAAATTTGGCAACGATCTCTTGAAAAAAAACTGAGATACAAAACAATAGTGAGTGACGGTGACAGCAGTACGTATAAAACCATTGTTGACCTCAACGATGGTGAGGGACCATATCCAGGTGTAAATGTTGAAAAAGAGGAGTGTATCAATCACTATGCAAAACGTCTAAAGAACAGACTAACAAATTTGGTGAAGTCACAATATGTTGAGAAAGAATTGAAAACTGGGAGGAAGAGGAAGGAGTTCGCCATGAAGAAAAAGGGCATGTTGACAGACTCTGTAATTGATAAGTTAGCACAGTACTTTCAAAAGAACCTGAGAGAGAAGATCGGTCATGGAGTTGAAGATATGAGGAATTGTATCATGGCAAGTTTCTTCCATTGTTCCTCAACTGATGAAAAACCTCAGCATCACCTTTGCCCAACAGGTGATAAATCCTGGTGTTTCTACCAGAAAGCAGCAACAGCAAACCTTCCTCCACCATCTCACACCAAGATGAAAGTGCAGTTCCAACTGGAACCTGCATACATGGAGGAGGTGCATAATATCTACAAAGACCTAACATCAGATGAAATGATGCAGCGTTGTGTAAAAGGCAGAACGCAAAACCCTAATGAAAGTCTGCATCAACGCATATGGTCTTACTGCAATAAAGCCAAATATCAAACCAAGAGGCATGCTGATTTCGCAGTCAGCCATGCTGTTGCAGACTACAATACTGGATATGTGAGGAGCTGTTTGGACATAGCACTGGGCTACGGACGTTCAGCAGTGACTCAAGCACAACTTGAATTAATGGAGAAGCACATGAAGGAAAAACGGAAACGAAGTGGAAAGAAGAGGAAAAGGGAGCTACGTCCTACGAGCCTGGAGGACATTAGATAATCATGTGTCCACCTACATCCAGTCAAAGGTACGTAATTATTAGTGTTTTTTTGGTATATTTTTATATTGTTATGTGTATAAATATCATATATGGGTGCAATTACATGTATCTACATAATCACTGGGAATAATTACTGAGAATAGGATTTTGAGAATTCATTTCTTTCTTTCCAGATTGACTGGGATGGATTGTTATGATTGTCCGGCCACCAGAGAACTTCAGGATGAAGGGATCTTCATGGAACGTCAGGAATAATGTCTATACAACCAGTTCTACTCTCAATAAACGTATAAAGGCACTATGAGTATTTTTACCCACTGTATAGTAATGTAGCTGTATAGCCCTTGTGGTTTAGCGCTTCTTTCTGATTATAATAATAATGTATAGTAATGTTCAATGTATTTGTTGATTTTTCTCGAAAGTGAATTTATTTGTATTCTGATCATGCACCATTATTTATGAACCGATCATTCTGTATTTTACAAAAGTTATTCAGGGGACCCTGTTTGACTTTTAGATGCACCCGTCTTGGGTAATTATCTCTTCCATTTTGCATACCAATAAGCCTAACCTCCATAGTGGGAAAATTTATGGAATCAATAATTGCCGAGGCAGTTCGTAGCCACCTTGAAAAGCATAAATTTAATAAACGAATCTCAGCATGGTTTTACAAAGGGGCGTTCCTGCCTTACGAATTTATTAACTTTTTTCACTAAGGTATTTGAGGAGGTAGATCATGGTAATGAATATGATATTGTGTATATGGACTTCAGTAAGGCTTTTGACAGGGTCCCACATCAGAGACTATTGGGGAAAAAATTAAAGCACATGGAATAGGAGGAGAAATTTTTTCCTGGATAGAGGCATGGTTGCAAATAGGCAGCAGAGAGTTTGCATAATGGGGAAAGAAATCAGAGTGGGGAAGTGTCACGAGCGGTTTTTCCACAGGGGTCAGTGTTGGGCCCCTGCTGTTCACAATTTTACATAAACGACATAGATGAGGGCATAAAGAGCGACATGGGCAAGTTTGCCGATGACACCAAAATAGGCCGTCGAATTCATTCTGAGGAGGACATTCGAGCACTCCAGGAAGATTTGAATAGACTGATGCAGTGGTCGGAGAAGTGGCAGATGCAGTTTTAATATAGACAAATGCAAAGTTCAAAAATGTTGGACAGGACAATAATCATGCCACATATAAACTAAATAATGTAGATCTTAATATTACGGATTGCGAAAAAGATTTAGGAGTTCTGGTTAGCAGTAATCTGAAACCAAGACAACAGTGCATAAGTGTTCGCAATAAAGCAAATTTAAAAATCCTTGGCTTCATATCAAGAACCCATAAATAATAGGAGTCCTCAGGTTGTTCTTCAACTTTTACATCCTTGGTTAGGCCTCATTTAGATTATGCTGCACAGTTTTGGTCACCTTATTACAGAATGGGTATAAATTCTCTGGAAAATGTACAAAGGAGGATGACAAAGTTGATCCCATGTATCAGAAACCTTCCTATGAGGATAGATAAGGGCCCTGAATCTGCACTCCTAAAAAGACGTAGAATTAGGGGGGATATGATTTAGGGGTATAAATGGAAGACAGGAAAAAAATAAAGGGGATGTAAAAAAGTGTGCTGAAAATATCTAGCCTAGACAGGACCCGCACAATGGTTTTAAATTGGAAAAATTCAGATTCAGGGAAAGGATATAGAAAGTACTGGTTTGGTAATAGAGTTGTGGATGAGTGGAACAAAACTCCCCAAATACCGTTATAGAGGCCAGGGAAAGTTGTGTAGCTTTAAGAATAGGTTGGATAAATACATGAGTGGATGTGGGTGGGTGTGAGTTAGACCTGATAGCTTGTGCTACCAGGTCGGTTGCCGTGTTCCTCCCTTAAGTCAATGTGACCTGACCTGACTAGGTTGGGTGCATTGGCTTAAGCCGGTAGGAGACTTGGACCTGCCTCGCATGGGCCAGTAGGCCTTCTGCAGTGTTCCTTCGTTCTTATGTTCTTATGTTCTTAAAGTGCAAAAAAAAAAAAAATAAAATAAAGTCGACATATTAATATTTTTTCTGGGTACCATAAAAGATGTTATTACATTATTTCTAAGCAGCAGAAAGTCAATTAGGCATTACTTTATCATTTGTGATTATCAACAATGATTTCGAGATTGCCAATATTGACTACTGTTGCTGTAAGTGTTGCCATGTCCATTTTTTCACATTTTTATTTTTTATAACTATTTATTGGACGATCTTGATGCAACTTTGACCACATCATGTTCAACATGCCTAAAGTCTCTGGTAAAAAATTCAACGAAATCGTGCAAAGGGGGAAAAAAAAAATTCCACCCCCCTCCCTTGGTCTTGTTTGAGGAAGCTGTATAGCCCTTGTGGCTTAGCGCTTCTTTTTGATTAAATAATAATAATTGTTTGAGGGAGGAGAGAAGATCTTTTCTAATAGGGCAGGAGTTTGAAATTGCTGTGTGTGGGCCATCACAGTTTGAACATTTCATGGTTGTCTGAGCAGGGCTCTTGATTTAGGGAATTGGATCTGTGCTCCAGTTCCCCGAATTAAGCCTGAATGCCTTCCACATCCCCCCCAGGCGCTGTATAATCCTCCGGGTTTAGCGCTTCCCCCTTGATTATAATAATGAGCAGCTACGGTGAAAAGCTCTGTTCCACAAGGCACAGTACTCGCTCCCATCCTGTTCCTCGTCCTCATATCTTACATAGACAGAGATGTAAGCCACAGCACCGTGTCTTCCTTTGCAGATGACACCCGAATTTGCATGATAGTGACCTCTATTGCAGACACTGCAAGACTCCAGACGGACATCAACCAAATCTTTATATAAGAACATAACGAAGGAACACTGCAGAAGGCCTACTGGCCCATGCGAGGCAGGTCCAAGTCTCCTACCGGCTTGAGCCAATGCACCCAACCTAGTCAGGTCAGGTCACATTGACTTAAGGGAGGAACACGGCAACCGACCTGGTAGCACAAGCTATCAGGTCCAACTCACACCCACCCACATCCACTCACGTATTTATCCAACCTATTTTTAAAGCTACACAACGTTCTGGCCTCTATAACTGTACTCGGGAGTTTGTTCCACTCATCCACAACTCTATTACCAAACCAGTACTTTCCTATATCCTTCCTGAATCTGAATTTTTCCAACTTAAAACCATTGGTGTGTGTGGGGAACAAGCAGGTTGCAACACTAGGGTTGGAAACAGTAAATGTATAAAAGGCATTCAGCATGAAGTTATAAATAAAGACAATAGAACAGGTCAGCAAACAAAGGGGGACAGCAGAGGGCAGCAAGGGACTAGCTCCCTTAAGGTTTACTATACTAATAGCAGGAGTGTTAGAAATAAGATAGATGAGCTAAGATTAATTGCAAGTGCAGGAAACATAGATATTATTGCTATAACAGAGACCTGGCTCAATCTGAAAGATAGAGAGATGCCCTCTGGAATGTCACATACAAGGCTATAAATTATTCCACACTGACAGGGTCAACAGGAAAGGGGGTTTGGAGTAGCGATGTACGTCAGAGACAATTTAAATTGTTGTGTTAGACAAGATATTAAATTAGAAGCATCAGCCACTGAATCTGTTTGGTTACAGCTTCTCGAGGGCCGAGAAAAACTAATTTTGGGTGTGATTTACAGGGCCCCAAATCTTGATAGGGAGTGCAGTAAACTTCTATGGGACGAAATTCGTAAGGCATCTACATACGAAAATGTTGTGCTAATGGGAGATTTTCAACTATAGACAGATTGACTGGAGCAATTTGACAGGAAATTTTAGAGTCGGGTGACTTTTTTTGATACGATCCAGGATTGTTTTTTAAAACAGTTTGTGACAGAGCCAACTAGGGGAAATAACCTCCTTGACTTGGTTCTTGCCAGTAGGGAAACACTAATTAATAATCTTGAGGTTAATGATGAGCTTGGGAGAGTGATCACAAATCACTCAGTTTTAATATATCAGGGAATTCCCCTAATAATGGCAATCAAGTCTCCGTCCCTGACTTTCGCTTGGCTGATTTCATAGGACTGAAAAATTACTTACGTGGGCTGAACTGGAATGACCTGACTAAGGTTCAGGTAGGTGGTGATGGTTGCCGATATGATGCTTTTCCAGGGCATAGTTCTAGCTGCTCAGTCAAATTATGTTCCAAATAGGGAAATCAGATCAAACAAAAATGATCCTAAATGGATGAACAATAGATTAAAATATCTGATTGGTCAAAAGAGAGGCATATATAGGCAAATCAAAAGAGGAGAGGGGCAATTAAGAAATCGTATATTCAGTTAAAGAGAGAAATAAAAAGGGAATTAGAAAAGCAAAAAGAGATTATGAGGTTAAAGTTGCAAAAGAATCGAAGACTAACCCAAAAGGATTCTTTCAGGTATACAGAAGTAAGATCAGGGACAAGATAGGCCCACTCAAAAGTTCCTCGGGTCAGCTCACTGACAGTGATAAGGAAATGTGTAGAATTTTTAACACATACTTCCTCTCAAGTTTTTACACAGGAGGATACCAGCGATTATTCCATTTAATGATAAATTATGTAGAACAGGACGATAATAAACTGTGCACTATTAGAGTCACAAGTGACATGGTCCTTAGGCAAATAGATAAATTAAAACCTAACAAATCCCCAGGCCCTGATGAACTGTATGCAAGGGTTCTAAAGGAATGTAAAGAGGAGCTTAGCACACCTTTGGCTAATCTTTTCAACATATCACTACAAATGGCATGGTGCCAGATAAGTGGAAAATGGCAAATGTGATACCTATTTTCAAAACAGGTGACAGGTCCTTAGCTTCGAACTATAGACCAATAAGCTAACCTCCATAGTGGGAAAATTTATGGAAACAATAATTGCCGAGGCAGTTCGTAGCCATCTTGAAAAGCATAAATTAATCAACGAATCTCAGCATGGTTTTACAAAGGGGCGTTCCTGCCTTACGAATTTATTAACTTTTTTCACTAAGGTATTTGAGGAGGTAGATCATGGTAATGAATATGATATTGTGTATATGGACTTCAGTAAGGCTTTTGACAGGGTCCCACATCAGAGACTATTGAGGAAAATTAAAGCACATGGAATAGGAGGAGAAATTTTTTCCTGGATAGAGGCATGGTTGACAAATAGGCAGCAGAGAGTTTGCATAAATGGGGAGAAATCAGAGTGGGGAAGCGTCACGAGCGGTGTTCCACAGGGGTCAGTGTTGGGCCCCCTGCTGTTCACAATCTACATAAACGACATAGATGAGGGCA